GCAGGTGGTGGTGAAGGCGGCAGAAGGTGGTGGCAGTAGAGGAGGAGGAGGAGGAGGAGGAGGAAAGCGTCCAGGTACATCCGGGGGGAATGGTCTCGTCGGCGCCCGCACGTGGAAGTTCATGAACACCGGGGCCATTGTTGCAGCAGCGCTCGGGAAGGCTAACGGAGGTGTCATTCTGGACGATTCGCTTTCTTTTTATATTTTTATATATATTTTTTTCTTTCTCTCTCGGTTTTGTTATTGTTTTGAATGCGCTCCTGGTTTTTGTGTGTTTTATTGTTTCGGGGGACAAACAACGCGCGTGTATGCCCATTGTTAGTAGCCTGAATTTAACAGCCTCATAAAGTTCATCCCAGGCACATGCTTTATAGAGCGGGTGAGTGAGGAGAGCGAATGCATGACGGAGGGAGGGAGTGAATGAGTGAGAAAACGGGTGAGTGAGGGAATGAATGAATGAGTGAGGGAGGGAGTTAGTGAGAGAAGAGCGAGCACACCTGCGGTTCCATGTACAGCTGCAGAGCCACAGCAAGTGATGGAAAAAGATGAAAAAATTGTCGCCAACACCACATGCGAGAATGAGTGTGTTTGTTCCGAAGGGTTTCCTTGGGCGGTGTGGCGGTGGGCGGGTGGGTTGGGTGGGTGTGATAAAAGCACACAAGGGTTACTGCACGTCCCTTAAGTGCCGAGTGGCCGGAACCTCGGTATTATCCGCACACGCACATGTGCACATGGGCCGCGTTCTTGCACGTGCGCCTCCAGTGCTCCGTCGCCTGACAACGGGACATCTGCGGGGCGCTGAGATCCTTGTCCTTGCAGGAGGCGCGTCACACGAGCGCCGGGCCATCCTCCCCCCCCCCTCAGCCTTGGAAATCCTGTGGATACCTTTATCCTTTTCCTTTTTCCCCTTTAGGCCTCAATTCCTAATTCTCTCCCTCCCTCCCTACCTACCTGCCTACTCCCAATCCCTCCCCTCCCTCTCTCTACCTTTATCTCTCTCACTCAGTACACCCATCCCTTCCCCTCCCCCCCCCCCCCCCCCTTTCCCCGACTGCGTGATATGTGAAACATTAATGATATATAGGTTTGGGCCTCTGCGTTCGCGTCCCCGCCGTGCCACTGCCATCGATTTTTCATTACGAAGCTCAACTTTGCGCGTCCTCTTTCGTTGTGCCGTCGCTTCTGCTTCTGCCTCTGCCTCTGGTTCTGCTTCGGTTCGATATGTTGCTGTACGAGTTTAGTGGGTAATGGAGCCAGTACGATCTTGTGGGGGTGTCTTTGGAATTCTCCCTCGCCGCCTCGCCCGCCCACTTGCCCCGCCCGCCCACTCGACCTTCCGTTGGTTCGATTTTTCTGGTGGATATATCTGCTCCAGGGGGAAAAAGGGAGGAAAAGAAGAATCGATTGTTCTATTTTTCTTATTATTATCTTTCTTCTCTCGTTGGTGGTGGTGATGATTCATCCTTGTTTTGATTTTTTCCCCCTCTTTCTTCCTTCTTTCTTTTCTTCACTTCATGTCTCACCTTTCCCCTTCCTCTTCCTATCCCCCCCCGTCAGCATCACTTCCCCTTCTCCTTCCTTACTCTTACCTCTTCCTATCCCCCCGTCAGCATCCCTTACCCGTTCCCTTCCTTCCTTCTCTTCCCTTCCCCTCCCCTTCCCTTTCCGCCCGCCCGCCCCCGCCCGTGTGTTTGCTGAGTCGCGATTTTGGGGCATTACCGGCGAGAGATTTGATTATTGGGATCCTATATGTAGCGCAATGACGGCGTCCCCTGGGGTAGGGGAAGAGGGGGGAGGGAAGGGGGAGGTAATGGATGGGGAGAGAACAGCCCACTCCGCTGCTGTTACTCACTCGCTTGATGGTTTCGCGATGGCGGGTCTTTTTTTTCTGTTTTTCTTTTCGTTTTCCTGTCTTCTCTTTCGTCTGCCTCTTCCCCTTTGGTTTGATTATCCTCTCACTTACTCACTTCCCCACCGCACTGCATTCTTTTTTTTCGTCTATATTTTCTCTCTCTCTCTCTTTCTTTTTCTTTCTTTCTTCTCTCAATCATTTCCACCTCTCCCCTCCTTCTCTCCCTTTTTCTCTGCCTCCCTTATCTGTTCCCCGCAGACCCTCCCCGTGGGATCCCTGCCTTTACAGCGTGGATGTGACTATCGGGTTTTCGGGTCGAGGCGCGGATAAGGACTGTAATGGAATCCCCGATAGTGTATGGGCGGCGGCGGCTCCTTCGGGGTGCGTCACTGCGCGGAGTTTATGGGCGGGGAGGAATGGGAATTGCGGTGATAACGGGGGGGAGGAGGAGGGAGGGAGGGGAAGGAGAGGGAGAAGAGAAGGAGGAGGGGGAGGAGAGGAAGAGGAAGAAGAGGAGGAGGAGGAGGAAGAAGAGGAGAGGAGAGGAAGAAGAGAAAGTGGTACGGGGAGGACAGTTTGGAGGGGAGAGGGATAGACCAGGCAGAGCAGTGAGAGGCAGACAGACAGACAGAGGGGCGTATGTATGTATGTATCTGTGTACACGTATGTATGTCTGTATCCGTTTGGGCGTAGCCGAGCTTGACTGGCGTTTGCAAGTCCTCGTCGTCCTGTGGGATCCAGCGAAAGGGGGCGGCGAGCGGCGTGGCTTCGCGCCGTATAAGGAGCGGCGGAGTGCGGGAAGGGCGCAGCGAAAGGGGGTAGCCGGGAGTGCCTAAAGGGTTAGGGGAACGAATGGGGAGAGAGAGAGAGAGAGAGAGAGAGAGAGAGAGAGAGATGGAATGGAGAGACGGAGGAAGGAAGATAAAAATGAAGATGAGTAGATGTGGGTATTGAAAGGGGTAGGGGGGAGGTAGTTTATGAGGCGAGGGGGGGGGGGCTTTTGTCTGGATGGGTTGGTTTGGCGTCTCTGTTGGGTCTGGAATCGGCAAATGACGTTTGTTGCCTATGATAAGTGGCGCGTGTCTGGCTGGTGTCTAGGGTGGCTTGTCTAGGGGCTGCGTCTGCCTTGGTGTCGTCATCGCAGGTAACTTCATGAGCTCGTTGGGACGGTGGGATGTTGTACCCTGTCGGCCCTCCTCTCTCCCTCCCTCTTCCTCTCTCCTCCCACCTCCTTCTCCCTCTCCCTCTCCCTCTCTCCTCCCACTCTCTCTTTCTCTCCCTCTCCCTCTCTCCTCCCACCTTCCCTCTCCTCTATCTTATCTATTTCTCCTATTGTATTCTCTGCAAACCTATCTATTTACTGCCCTTCTTTTTCCCATCTATCTCCCACTCCTCACGTCTCTTCCTCTCGTTGATTTACCTTCCCTCGTTGGCTTCGTTTTCATACGAGTTTTCGAACTTGGGGAGGAATGCAGAGAGATTACCCCCCACCCCACTCCCTTCCACACCCCATACCCCCTCCTTCCCCCTGAGTGATTTTCTGTGTTTTTCGAAATCTTGACTCGTCGCGGCTGTCTGTTGGGGGAGGAATATATTTTTTTCTTTATTTTTTTTCCTATGCGGTTGTTGTGTTTTTTTATTTGGGATGTTTATATCCACTGATATGCAAATTGGAGAACCGTGGATGGAATTTATCGATATGTATTTTTTCGCGTTTTTTTTTTTTTTTTTTCTTCTCTGGGCCCATGCCGGTGAACATTAGAAAGAGTGTTAGTGTGTGTTTGTGTTTTTGGATGTCGGTGTTGGTCTAACTTTGGCGACGCGAACTGTTCCGTTGCCTGCCTATCTCTGGCATCTGTTGCCACGTCTCGTTAGTCTAGATAGTTTGTTTTACATAATGGTCGTTCGTTTTCTCTCTCTTTTGGTGTGTTTTTTCTCTTATCCTTTATTTCTTTCCATTCATTTTTCTCTATCTATCTATCTTTCTATATGTATATTATCCTCTCTCTATCTCTATCTCTTACTTCTATCTCCCTCCACTCTCTCTTATCCTCACCCTTTCTCCCTGCCTCTGTCCGTACATTCTCCCTTCGTAGGGGCCTCTTAAACACCCCTTTGCCCTCCCCCTTCCTCGGCGAAGACCATCTACGCTGCCTCTTATTTCCATAATTATTTCTCCTTGTTGGGCAAAAAAGGCATTTGGCCCGACACTCTTAGGTTGCGGGATCGGTCAGGAATGGGAGGGAAGGGAAGGGAAGGGGAAGGGCAGGGAGGGGGGGTAGAGAGAGGGATGATGAAAGGGAAGTGAAGAGGAAGAGGAGGAATGAGGTCGGTAGATTATGGTTAGATTTCAGTAATTATTTTTTTTATTGTCGTCATCCTCGTTCTCTCTCTCTCTCTCTCCACCTTGGCCTTTAGAAAGCAGGCTACATTATTGTGGAATGGCGGTTGTTAACGCTATCGTCTCTCTCTCTCTCTCTCTCTCTCTCTCTCTCTCTCTCTCTCTCTCTCTCTCTCTCTCTCTCTCTCTCTCTCTCCTCTCTCTCTCTCTCTCTCTCTCTCCTCTCTCTCTCTCCTCTCTCTCTCTCTCTCTCCATTTTCAAGTGTGCACTCTGGTGTCTCTGGCTCTTACGCACATTATTATATTTTCCTCTTGAATCCATAATCCTATAATACCTCCCACCACGAGTCCCCTTTCAAGACTTGGCATTGGCGGGAGCAAGGGAGGCGGTGTCAGAGGAGGATAAGGAAGTCTGCCGTGGCGCTGGGAGTGCGTCGAGAGAGACCCAGAAGATATGGTGTCATTATCGCGATGTCTGGGTTGACGAGGCAGCAGCGCGCCCCCGCCCGCCCGCCCGCCGAGGACCTTCCGGCGCAGGGGCGGGCGGGAGCGAGTAATGGAGTGTTGCATTGTGCGCGCCCGCCCGCCGTCGCTCCTTTCTTCTTGGGTCTTTCGTCCCCCACTTAGCGACGTAATAGCCTTCAAATTGGGCGGAGTTGCGGCCTGCGAGGGACCGGAAGGAGGCGAGGGGAGCGGCAGAAGGAAGGGTGCCACGGGCTGGGAGGAGGGTGGGGCGGGAGGGTGCCAAAGGGGTACGACGAGATAGATCCTGCCAGACGTTGACGGAAGTGAGGGCGTGGTAAGACGATGGGCTCCGCGCCCTTTGCATATGCTCGTGAGGGTGATGGGCGGGCGGGCGGGCTAGTGGGTGGGTGGTGGGTGATTGGAGGAGAGGGCTTGCCTTCGTCGTCCATAACCACCTCCACAGCCTCTTAGTCGTCGTCCTTTTCCTACCTTCTCCTCCACTATCTCCTCCTTTCCTCCCTTTCCTCTTCTTCCCCCTCCTCCCTTTTCTTCTTCCTCCTCCTCTTCCTCCCGAGCGAGAGGCGGCTCTCCCGTTCGCCCAGACGGGAGGCCCTTTTGTGATGCAGATGAGACCAGCAGGATATGCTCTTGTGGGGATATAACATTGCATATTGTTATGTGCCAGCATTTGTTCGCATTTTGCCTCGCTCTGTAGATGCAGGAGGAGGAGGGGGGGGGGGGGAGTACGTTTGTACCTAGTGTTCTTTTTCTTGCGGCCATGTTCTTCATGCGACGTAATCTTGCCATAGTATTTTAGCGGCGCGGGGACAAAGACGAGTACATTATGGCGCATTTCCATGGAGCGTTGCAGGTGGAGGAAAACAATTGCGCCGGGCGTCAGGTTGCCACGAAAGGGGGAGGGGAGGGGGAAGAGGGGAGAAGGTCGTGTGTGCATACCATTAAGCCCACACCGTCCCCGACCTCTCTTGACCTTTGACCTTATCATTTGACACTCGAATATCTCTCTTCGTAGTTACATGTGTGTTATACTTTTATGGTTCCGTTTTCTTCCCGTTTGTACTAATATTTTCTTCTTCTTTTCCTTCTCACAGGTTGCAAGATCAAGGCATTACGCGCCAAGACCAACACGTACATCAAGACGCCAGTGAGAGGGGAGGAGCCCGTCTTTGTCGTCACTGGTGAGTGTCGTGGTTTCTGTGAGTGAGTTAATGAGTGAATGGGCGAGTTGAGTTAATGAGTGAACCGGTTAATAAGTGAATGAGAGGGAGTATGTGTGCGTGCTTGTATTTTGATAGTTTGATAGCGGTATTTTTTATTGATTGTATATATTTTTTCCCCCAATTTGCTGATCTATAGTTTTAATGCCATGCAGTCAGGGATAGTTCAGCTCGTGGGTAATGGACAGGTATTTCCCCCTTCTTGGCTCTCCCGTATTCCCTTCTCCCTGCCCCTCTCCCACTCAAGCCCCTCCTCCACCCCTTTAGAGCCGTCCCTATGTCGGGGGTGAAGACAGGTCACGGGCGTGGGTGTTAGGGTGGAGTTAAAAAGGGAGGAAGAGGGAGGGGGGAAGGGAGCAGGGGGCAGGGCGGGCCAGTTTTTACGAGTCCGCCCACCCGTCGACGTAGAGCACGACTCCTTGACTCATAGCTCTCGATAGCGGGCGGCGGCGGGCGGCGGGTGGTGGGCGTCGGGGGCGGTGGGGGCGGTAGGGGCGGTGGGCGGGGACAGCTTAGGCCTGGAATCCATGTGTCGAGCCGACCGCGGGCTGTTAATGGGGATATTATGCAGGCTGGAGTTCGATGCGAGCCAGGTATAAATCTTCCAAATTTGGCCTTGTGTGTGTGTGTGTGTGTTTTGGTCCTTTTTTGTGGTTTATGCGTGTTCACTTTTTTTTTTTTTTTTGGGGGGGGGGGGGGCGACGGTTTCTTTCGCTGTGCGCGCGTGTGTGGTTTTTGTGGTCTCTAGGGTTCCCGAAATTGAGAGACACTCTCTCTCTCTCTCTCTCTCTCTCTCTCTCTCTCTCTCTCTCTCTCTCTCTCTCTCTCTCTCTCTCTCTCTCTCTCTCTCTCTCTCTCTCTCTCTCTCTCCTCTCTCTCTCCCTCTCCTCTCTCTCTCTCCTCCTCTCTCTCTCTCTCTCCTCTCTCTCTCTCTCTCTCTCTCTCTCTCTCTCTCTCTCTCTCTCTCTCTCTCTCTCTCTCTCTCTCTCTCTCTCTCTCTCTCTCTCTCTCTCTCTCTCTCTCTCTCTCTCTCTCTCATATATTATATAATATTATATATATATATATATTATATATATATATATATATATATATATATATATATATATCTTTCGTTCCCTCTCTCTCCTTCTCCTTCCTCCTTCTCCTTCTTCCTCTCCTCTCCTCATCCTCTACCCCCTCCCCCCCTGCCATTTCCACCTCCACATCACTCCCCTGCCACAGTCTCCTCGTACTCCTCACCGGCCTGTCCTTTTTGTAATGCGTACCCAGACACCTTGCCCCCCCCCCCCCACACCACACACCCCACCCTCCATTCTCTCCCTGTTCCTCCCCCCCCCCCTTATAGGCGCCCACCTCTTTTGTTGTCTTCTTTTCGCACTCAATATCCCTTTCTTTCCCCTCTCCACCCTCCCTCGTTAGGTCCTCCGTCCTGTCTCTTCATATCCCTTCGTCTGTATGTTTGTTTATTCTCTCTCTTCTCTCTCTCTCTCTCTCTCTCTCTCTCTCTCTCTCTCTCTCTCTCTCTCTCTCTCTCTCTCTCTCTCTCTCTCTCTCTCTCTCTCTCTCTCTCTCTCTCTTTCTCCTTTCTCCTTCTCCTTTCTCCTTTCTCACTTTCTCCCTCCCCCCTCCCTCCGTGAGTGTGTGTGTCTGTTTATTTCCCTCTCTCTTCCCTCTCCTCCCTCCCTCCCTCACCGCCCTCCCCCAGTCTCTCTCTCTGTCTATGGGTCCCTTTTCTCTCCCTCTTCCTCCCAATCTCCCTTCTTCATTATGTGTACCCAGGGACTTGGGGCGGATTCAGCTGGGGAAGGAGGGTGAAGGGGGAGGAGGGAGGAGGGAGGGAGGTTATTATGGGTGTTGTAGGGAGGAGTGCGGGAGGGATATCGAGCGTCCAAGGGAGGGGTTTGGTGGTGGTGGGGATGTTGGGGGAGGTGGGGTAGGGGGTTAGGGGGGCGATCCCGCTTTACCCCTCTCCGAGAAAGATTAAGAGCGCCCGTGTTGATTCGCGCGATGACGCCCACCTCGCTCGGGCGGGCGGCGCTGCGGGACGCCGTCTTCTCGCCCGATTGTTCTCGGGTTCCTTTGGGAGGCGCGGGGGCGTGTCGGGCGGGCCGGTCGGTGGGGGTTCTTTTTCTTTTCTTTTCTTTTTTTTAGTGTGTGTGTGTTTGTGTTTGTTTTTTTTAATGTTTTTTGTAGAAGTCGATACGTTGGGCATCATTGATTGAGGGCATTCCCATTCGCACATTTCACGTAAACCACGCACCCCTACTTCCCCTCCTTCTTTATATTCCCCCCCTCGCCTTCCCCTTCCCCTCCCCCTCCCCCAAGCCGAGATCGAAAGGAGGCGGAGGTGCAAAATCCCCCAAATTAAAGTGACGCTGGGATGCTGGTGCTGACCGGCGTGGTGGCGGAGCGGCGACTCCTGTGGGCGTTGTTTTTGGGCGCCGGGTGCAGAGCGCTTAGTCAGGGGCCAGGTTTAGAGCGCGGTGGTACTCGTGTCTCTCTCTCTCTCTCTTTCTTCCTCTCCTCCTCTTCCTCTTCCTTTCTCTTCTCCTTTTCTTCTTCTTCCTCCTCCTTCTTCTTCTTCCTTCTCTCCCCTCCTCTATTCCTCCTCTTCTCCTCTTTTCCTCTCCTCCCTCTCTTCCTCCTCTCCTCCTCTCCTCTCCTCCTCCTCCTCCTCCTCCTCTCTTCCTCCGGGTTGGACTCCTCCCAGAGACGCCTTCGACAATGCTATATACAGGCTTCTGTTTTTATCTCTTAGATTCTCTCTCTCCCTCTCCCTCAGTCCCTCTCCTTCCCTCCCTCCCTCCCTCCACTCTCTCTCCCTCTCTCCTCTCCCCTCTCCCTCCCTCCCTCCCTCCCTCCCTCCCTCTTTCCCCTTTCGTTCTTTTCCCTTCCTCCTTTCCATCCCAGCGAGAGAGCCGGCAGCGGACGAGCTCTCTCACTTTCCTTCGAAGCAGACCTGCGTTCAGGGGCGCAGTGCTGGTCGTCGTTGTAGTGCAGGCGGTCAGATTTTGGCTGATTTCTTGATTAGGTAGATTCATTTCTTTCTTTTTCTTTCTTTCTCTTTCTTTCTCTTCTTTCTCTTTCTTCTCTCGTTCTCTTCTTTCTCTCTTCTCTTTCTTTCTCTCTTTCTCTCTTTCTCTTCTTTCTCTTTTCTCTTTCTTTTCTCTTTCTCTTTCTTTCCTTTCTCTTCTTTCTCCCTTTCTCTCTCTTTCTCTCTTTCTCTCTCTCTCTCTCTCTTCTCTCTCTCTCTCTCTCTTCTCTCTCTCTCTTCTCTCTCTCTCTCTCTCTCTCTCTCTCTCTCTCTCTCTCTCTCTCTCTCCCCCCCATTTGTTTGTCTTTCCCTTTGCCTACTGTTGTGCAGAGGATGCGTCGAAGGGTCGGTCGCCTGAAATTGCATCGGAGTTGTTCGGAGCCTCAGCCTGACGTGGAAGTGAAACCCCTGGCGACTTGACGTTTGCAGTGACGTGTGAGTTCTCTTCCCCTCCCCTCCCCCCTCTTTTCCCTCTCATAACTTATCCTCTCTAGCCCGCCTTCTCTTTTCCTCCCCTCGTCTTCCCTACGTCGTCCCACTCCCTTTCTTCCTTCCCCTCCTCTGTCTTACCCTCCTGCTCTCTTTCCCTCCTCACCCCCTCTCGCTTGCCCCACCCCTCCATCGTCCCACCCTTTCTTCCCTCCCCCGCCCCCCTCTTTCCTCCCCCCCTTCCTTCCTTCGTCCCGCCCTCCACCCCCATCCGTCCACACAGTCAGCCCCCGCCGCCTCCTCCTCCACCTCCTTCCCCTCCTCCTCCTCCTCCCTCCTCCTCCTCCACCTCCTCCCACTCCTCCTCCTCCACCTCCTCCACCTCCTCCACCGCCTCCACCGCCTCCACACGGCTCCCACGCCAGCCTTGCCTTATTGGTCACCGGGGGAAGGGGGGGGGGGCAAAAAAATATTACCCCAACCCTTCCTCGGCATCTCGCACCCGCGGTCAGTTTCCAGCTTGCAACACTTTGTTTTATGGACGCGCATGTGAGCGTGTATGTAAGGGTGTGTGTGTCTGTGCGCGTGTATGATTTTACTCCGGGTGGGGGTGGGGGGTGGGGGTGGGGGAAGGGTCGTGGGTCAAAGATAATGAAATCGTGTTGTCGCCCCGTGCACCCCCGTCCGTGAGGCTAACAACGTTTCTTGTTCCAGGGCTTTTTTTTTTTTTTATTTCATTTCTCTCTCTCTCTCTCTCTCTCTCTCTCTCTCTCTCTCTCTCTCTCTCTCTCTCTCTCTCTCTCTCTCTCTCTCTCTCTCTCTCTCTCTCTCTCAAAGTTGGTAAGTGATTAAGTAAATAAAAACTGGGGAGTTTGATAACCCATTTCTTTATTTATCATTAATTATGTTCGCTCAATTCGTTTATTTCTATCATGTGCATTCGCGATGTTCGTTCGTTCGTTCGCATTTTTCTCGTGACTCATCCTCCGACCGACCCCTTCCCCCTTCCCTCCCTTCCCCTCCCCTCTCCTTCCCCCTTCCTTTCCTTCCTCTTTATATATTCATCGCCCTCGTTCCTCTTCCTACCTATCCCCTTCTACCTATGATCCCCACCCCTTCCCTCCCTCTCCCTCTCCCTCCCCTTCCCTCCTCCTCTCTCTCTCTCTCTCTCTCTCTCTCTCTCTCTCTCTCTCCTCTCTCTCTCTCTCTCTCTCTCTCTCTCTCTCTCTCTCTCTCCTCTCTCCTCTCTCTCTCCCTCTCTCTCTCCCTCTCTCTCTCCCCCACCCACCGCCCCACACGTCACCCTCGTCATTACCATAGGCTCGTCCTCAGCCGTCGCGGAGGTTGACCCTCGGGCAGTGCAACATTCCAGGCTCTCGAAATGGCGAGAAGGAGGAGGAGGAGGAGGAGGAGGAGGAGGAGGAGGAGGAGGAGGAGGAGGGCGAGGAGGAGCCGCCGCCGCCGCCGCCGAAGGGAGCCCGTGGATCCCGGGACCTTATTCTGACCTCAAACCCCAGCCGTCCTTGTGGTGCGGGGTAGGGGTTGGCAGAGGGGGAGGGGAGTGTCTAGGGAGTGGGATAGGGTAGGGCGGAGGGGGGGAGGGGAAGAACGACCAACCCACCTCCGTCTGGAAGCGTCTGGGTTGCTTGTCTGTGTTTGTTTGCTTTTGAGAGTTTATCGAAGTGGAATGGCTTATTCTTTTCTTCTTTTCTTCCTTTTGAATTTCGGGTCCGGAGGCGGGAGGCGGGGAGGGGGGGTCCAGTCTGACCTTGTCCGGGGTCCAGGTGGGTGTAGTGGGAAGGGGAGGGAGGGTGTTTTGCATTTAGGGGTGAGGGCGTGCTTGCTGTTTCGGGGTGGTGGAGGGGGGGGGGTGTTACGGTAGGGGTGAGATGGCGTGGCGGGGTGGGAGCGACGGAAGGGGTGAATAGAAAAGGAAGAGGAAGGGGAAGAAAAAGGGAAGGAAGGGATGGGAGGTTGATCCAAGAGATTCCTCCTCTTCCTCTTCCTCTCTTCCTCCTCCTCTCCCTCCTCCCTCCTCCTCCTCTCCTCCTCCCAGAACGAGCGTGGTGTTCCGAGCGCCGTCAGACCGCGCGCCCGACCCCCGTTTGACACCGAGGCGAGCGCACAAGCCAGAGCTCGAGGTCAGCGCTTGATCGGATCTGCTTGCAATATCAACGCGCTTCACTCAGTATTCCGTTTGGCGTTGGCGGCCCTCGCTTTGTCGGCTGGGTTGGAGTTCATATCATTTTTATTGAATTTTATTGATGATGGGATTGTCGTTAGTTATTTTTTATTATTATTTTTATTATTATTTCTTGTATATTGTTTTATTTATTTATTTTATTATTTTATTTTTTGAAGAAGCCGGTTGAGGAAGTTTTGGGTATGTTAATTGAGAGAATGGGGGGCAGGGGAAAGGGGTTGGGAGGGGAAAACGCCTGAGCTGCCAAAAGTCGGCTAAATTATGTAAAAGATTTGAGTGGGGGGTGGGGTTGTGATAGCTAGGGGGGGGGTTGTGATAGCTGGGGGGAGGGCGGGTGAGGAGGGGGGCCCTCCTTTCGGGTTTCCTCCCTTCCCACGTGCGGTCATATGATCCAGGAGCGGTCGTTATGCTGTCTAATGATCCATAAGAGGTAAAGATTGCGTGCGTCTGTGTGTGTATGGGGTGGGGTGGGGGGGTGTAGGTGGGATCAAGGTCTATGTAAGGGCGGACTCCCACTCGATTCTTGTTACCACGTCCCCTGTCGGTTGACGTGTTGTCCCTTCTCGGTCCCAGTTCACTCTCACACATTTATCTGTCTTCTCCCTCTCACTCCTTTTCCTTCCATCCCCCTCCCTATTTTACCTCCATACCTGGCCTCCCCCCCCCCTCCCTCCCCAGCGCCTGTGCCACGAGCGCGGGGGCCAGGCTGACACTTTTGGCCGTAGCGGCGTGACTCGTTTGTCTTGACCCGACCCGGCGTAGTTGACCCGAGTTGGCGGGGGTCGTGGGGTCCAGAGGGGGGAGAAAAAAGCAGCCGCGCTCGAAAGTGGGTTTCTGAAGGGTTGCTGCAAGCGCGATATGAAAGTGTATAATGAATTAGGCAGGGGAGTTTCAGTGCGCCGGGTTATTGGGCGCCGCGTTCAAGGATTGTTTGCAGAGGGCGCGCGGGCGGGCGTGAGAGAAGCTTGGGTCGCGTATTTTCCTGATTTTTTTTTCTACTTTTTTGTAGGCAATTCGTGTGTAGAAAAACATGTTCGTGGGGCACCGCGGGATCCGTTGTTTACTTTCGAGTGAGAGGAACTTTTTCCTCCTCGGGATTTCTTTGCTGTCTTTCACCGTGACGAGTTGTTGTTCTGGGGATCTTATTGTGTATTTCTTTCCAAAAATGATTAGAAAGTGTTTTTGTGTTGGCATAGCCTTCGTAACCGTTTGTCTCTCCTCCCGCAGGTCGCAAAGAGGATGTAGGGATGGCGAAGCGCGAGATCCTGTCGGCGGCCGAGCACTTCAGCCAGATCCGCGCGTGCCGCAAGAACAACCTGAACGGGTCCATGGCGCCCGGCCCGCCCACCAACGTGCCCGGCCAGGTGACCATCCAGGTGCGCGTGCCGTACCGCGTGGTGGGGCTGGTGGTGGGCCCCAAGGGCGCCACCATCAAGCGCATTCAGCAGCAGACTCACACGTACATCGTCACGCCGTCGCGGGACAAGGAGCCCGTGTTCGAGGTGACGGGCCTGCCGGAGTCCGTGGAGCAGGCCAGGAAGGAGATCGAGGCACACATCGCCATGCGTACGGGCGGCCTGCTGGACCAGGACGAGCCCAACGCAGCGGCCGCGGCGCGCCACCACGCCGACTTCCCCCCGCCCACGCACGGGCTCGACAACCTCTTCAACCCCCCTTCCTCAGAGCTGGTCTCGTCCCTCTACAAGCTCAATAATTCCTCGCTCAACGGACTTGCCTCCATCAACGGCATCGCCAACAGCGCAGGTCTGAACGGTCTCACCAATGGTCTCAGCAACGGTCTCTCCAGCGGCTCCAGCCTCAACGGCATCAACGGCCTGAACAGTCTCAGCGGCAGCGGTCTGAACAACTCGCTGAACGGCATGAATCTGAACAACACACTGAACAGCCTGAACACGCTGAACCAGCTCAACGACCTGAACTCCGCCTTCACGCTGCTCGGAGGAGACACCGGGTCTTCCCTCCTTGGCTCGTCGAACAAGGGCGGCAGCACCTTGGACTCGTCCCTGTTCTCCTCCTTCAGCGGCGGCGTCGGCAACACCAAGCTGGGGAGCGACGTGTCCGGCAGCGGCAGCGGCGGCCTCGGCCTGTACGGCGTGGACGAGGGCCTGGGCTCGCTGGGCTCCTCCATGGGCTCGTCGCCCTCCTTCGACCCAGCTCCCCCCAGCATTTGGGGCGAGCTCAGCCGGCCTCTGGGCAACAACATGAGCTCCACCGTCAGCTCCAGTTCCTCCCTCAGCTCGACCTTCTCGTCGCTGTCCTCCACGTTGTCCTCGTCCCTGACACGCAGGTCGTCGTCAGTGTCCGGAGCGTCCCCGCCCTCCTCCAGGCTGTCCCCGTCGTTAGAGTCCCACCCTCCCGCGAGGCGCATCAGCTCCGACCCGGCCCCGGGACTCGCGGCCGCGCCCTCGCTCGCATCGCTCAACTCGGCCCTCTCCGGAGGCCTGGGGGGACTACCTACCTCCTCTCCCTCCTCATCCTCACCAGCTTCCACCCCCGATCTCACGCAGCAGCTGAGCGCCTTCCAGTCGGTGCCCGGGCTGACGTCGGCGCCCGCCACCTCCACGGCGACCACCACCATCGCCAGCATGAACGGCCTCATGAACGGCATGGACGAGAAGAAGAGGTGCGTCACGTGCTGCGAGTCCGAGGTGGTGGCCGCGCTCGTTCCCTGCGGCCACAACCTCTTCTGCCTGGACTGCGCCAACAAACTCAAGTCCGAGGCGTCCGAGTGCCCCATCTGCCGCATGAAGGTCACTCACGCCATCCGCATCTTCTCGTAACGCGCCACCGCGTCACAGGCGGCAACGTCTCAGCAAGTACATTGCAACAAGCCAATGCGGCGCTCATGGGCATCTCGGCCCTCTAACTACCCCACCACCGGCTTATATAGAGTATATTAGTCCTTATATATCTGCAGATTGAAGAGTATTATCTTTAAAATCAATCATTAAATTTTTTATTCAAGTAGTGTGAAGATATTTTTATTTCATTTTCACTTGGAATGTAAGGCATTTTTATTGGTGTGCGTCGGGCGACAGTATGGCCCCGGGCAAGGTGTTCGTCCGGTGGCCGAGCCGTCGGTGCTGGTGGCGCGAGTCCTTCAAGTCAGAGTGGAGAACAGCTGTCGCTAGGCTGTGATAGGCAGGCCAGCGCCGCGCTCGCTCGCTCGCTGCACTCGCTGCCCGCCAACAACTGCCAGGGGGGGTCGACGCCCCCTCTCCGATCTCCCACTGTTTCCTGGGTACTCAGGTCGGCTCGGGCTGGGCCGGGCGGACCGAGGGTGCCGACGGCGTGGCGCTAGACAACCCCCCACCCGCTCACCCAGATCTGAATCATCCGCCCGCACGCCCGCACGCCCGCCCCTCCCAGCCCCGAGGCCGCCTCACAACGAATGCTACATATCCTTCTCGAACACTCTACGTGAGCGTGACAGCCGCCCACCAACCAGCCCGCCGCCCGCACGCCGGCCCGCCCCAGCGACACATGGACGGAGTGCGGGAGGCTCGGTGGCCAGTGGGTAGTTGGGGAAGGCACCAGGAGCAGGGAACAACAACCACCACCACCACAACCACCACAGTAACAACAACAGTAACATGACCACCAACACCGCAGTCCCGATGTCAACAGCAGACAGACAACCTCGCGAGGCCGGCCCGTCCGCGGCCGCCGCCTCGTCGAACCACCCGAACGATCGACTCGTGCCTTGATCCCGTCACACCTGTTACCATAGTTCGACCCACTGCCTCACCCACGCCCACACGCCCATGCCGACTAATGTCCTTCCCTCACACCGACACCCATCCAGCATCCCACTCACTCGCCCGCCCCGACCCCCATTAGATCCAGTCACCTTAGAACATCCCCATGACCCGCCCATCCACCCACCCACCCACATCCATAGCCTTCTGGAACCCACCACCCACCACCACCACCTCCTCGAAGATGGAACATCCTCATCAGCCAAGAAAGGTGGGCGTGTGTGTCTCTCGAGGAACGACGCCGAAGTTCGCCTCCGTCTCTCGCGCCGCCCACACGCAGACGACCCCCACACGACCCCCAACAAGAAAGAAGAAAAGTGAAAGAACCCCCCCACCCCACACACAAAATCAACAACCCCCACATCCACCACGCCCACTGAGCCACCAACCAATAGAGTTGACCCCTGCTTGTGCATTCATCTAATGGAAGCAATACAGTGATATTATCTTAGTCATAGCGCTTATCTAAGTTTTTGCTCATCATTGATATATAAATGGAAAATATTACAAAAAAAACTTATGAGAAGATGTGAGAGAAAAAAAAACTTTATTTTGTATAGAGAAGAATGATGAAGACGAAGAGAGAAAGAAAGAAAAGAAAATAATAACAGTATTCTAGACCAATCTTTAATTTCCAGTATATTTAATTATTATCAATGCCTTTTTGTGATAACGTTTGTTTTTGTCTGACTTGAAGGACTCGGAAGCGCCGCGCACGATGTATAGAAACCTCTTTTGTACAAGTGAAATATTCGCCAAGAAGCGCGACAGTCCGCCCGGCCGCCCGCGATCGGTGCCTGGCTGCCGTGGGCGTGTCGGGGGGAGGAGGAAGGGGCCAGGGGAGGTAGTGTCTCTCCCGCCGTGGGCCTTCTTCGGCGTCGACGGAACTCGCGAAGGCGGCGCTTGTGAAGACTCCTTCGCTCCCGGAAGAATTGTAATAATAGTGGTTTATTATTGCGATGTTTTGGAAAAAAAATCTTTTCTTCCATCGTACGCCCGCCGACTGCTCTCTTCAAAAGTGGAAAGGGAGAGAAAGGAAAAGGAAAAAGAAGAAGAAACCCGCCCACGAAACCCCCACCCGCCCCCCCTCGCCAAGCGCGGCCGGGACTCTCGTGCTTACCCCTCACTCCTACCCCCCTCGTCCCCTCCCTACCCGCTCCTTGACCCCCCCCTCACCCCCATACCCCCGAAGAAGCCAGATAGCCGATCTGGTGTCACAAGAAAAAGTTTTGGTGAAGACGGTGATGATGATAATGATAATGTGGTGATTGATCAAAACGAGAAGTAGAAAGAGAGTGTGTTTGAAAATGGCCTCGGGTGTTTGCGCAGGCCGGCCCAAAAGCATTATCATTATTTTTTAAAAAGAGCGATACCCCCACCCCCCCAGAGAGAAAATGGGGGGTATCGCTGTCCTTCCTTTTGGGGGGGAGGAGGGAGGGGAGGGGGCTCTGAAAGAAAATGTAAGGAAAGAAAGAAAAGGAGTGAATGAAGAAGAGATATATACCAAGAATTTGCTGGTTTATATATATAGATGATATATCCACTGGTGTCAATTTGCACACCCAACCCCTCACACCCCCCCTCCTTCGTCCTTCTCGCCTCTCCTCTCCTCCCTTTTTTTTCCTTCCCCCAACTCCCTTTTATTCCCCCCCCCCTCAACCCTTTCGAGTCGAAGGTGGTTTTATTCTATGTTCTCCTGACACAAAGATAGACAAGCTTTGTGGTGTTAGCGTCTTAAGATTAAAAAAAGAAAAAACGTATTATTATTATTATTTTTTTGAAGATGAGTGTTTAGTTTTTAAGGTAATATATATTTTTGTCCCTAAGATTTATATTTTTTTCTTCTCTTCTTTTTAATGGAAGTTTAAAGTTGAAATGTTTTTAGTTCCTTTATGATATATTTTTTCTAGCTACCCATATACCGGGCAAACAACAACAAAGATTTAAAAAAATGTATTTAAAAAAAGTGAGAAATGAGGAAATACATTACGGTTATAATGATGAAGATGATGATGATGATGAAGATGATGATGATAATAATAATAATATTAATATTAATCCGAGATAGTGTATTATGTGTGTATATTTTGTGTATCGTGAGTGTGTGCTGTCTTTGTCTCGGGCTCACCTCGCGATCCCAGCTGTGTATGTAAACTGTATCAATTTTTTTTTCTGTATATTTCCCTCTCCCCCTCCCTCTCTTCCTCTCCTCTCCCCATCTCCTCGTTCCCTGATTATTGCCTCCTTTCCCCCCCATTTCCCCTCTGCTCCCCCCATCCCTATATCCAGAAAGCACTACAATAATGTATATTTTCTTTATATAGAATTTCTTTGTATAAACCCGTGCATTCTCACTCCATGTGTCGGTGAATTTTTTTACGAGTAAATATGATGCAATTTTTTTATATAGTTTTTTTTTTAGATAATAAAAAATGCGATATAGAGCGCAAATCAATCAGAAAGTGAGATAAGACGACAGTGTGTGGATTCCACGGAAGGTAATTTTTTGAGATTATGTAAAGAAACCAGCTTGTCAACACCCCTCCCCCCCTCCTTGCCCCCGCCTCTCTTCCGCCTCCTCCTCCTCTCCTCCTCCTCCTCCTCTCCTACCTACTCCTCCCTCAAACGTTTGTTTTAGGGAGATATATGGTCATTAACTGTGTAATAATAATAATAATAATAATAATATAATATATTATAAATAATGATAATATATATATATATATCTTGCTGCCCACCACCCCCACTTCACCCCCCCTCACTCCCCTCACATGTGACACATTGCCCCCCCCCTTATTATCCCTCACCCCAGTTTTGATTATTATTATTACCACTAATAATTGACTAGTAAATGCGACAGACACCATACCAGGAGCGGGACGAGACTGATACTAGAATTTTGACGATAATAAAGAAGGAAAGAGAGAGAGAGAGAGAGAGAGAGAGAGAGAGAGAGAGAGAGAGAGGAGAGAGAGAGAGAGAGAGAGAGAGAGAGAGAGAGAGAGAGAGAAGAGAGAGAAGAAAAATTTAAAGAAAAAAGAAAGAAAGAAAGAAAAAAAGAAAACCAGGATGTGTTACGAATTTCCCTTTCGATTCTCAACCCGAACTCTTCATTGTCTGTCTGTCAGTGTCTGCTTGGGAATAGTAGATGGAGTTTTATTTTTTATTATTTTATTTATTATACAATATATATAAATCTATATATTTTTTTTCTTTTTTTTCGGTTCTTGTTAATCGGTCCAACGATGGTGAGCTTGTGTCATGCGCAGGTTCCGTGTCATGTCATGTGTCGCTTGGTGAGCTCTTATTGTTTTTATTTTTGATTCCCTCCCTTCCTCCCTTTTTACCCCCTCCCCTCCCTCCCCCTCTATTCAGCAAGCGGACGAGATACCCCCTCCTCCAGCCCCCTAACCCCCCACCCCCTACCATTTTTCCCCTTTTTTTTAGGATTTTTTTTTATAGGGAGCCGTCTCGGTGACACAGGCCCAAGATCGCTGAGACTTTTTCTGTCACGTTTATAGAGTTTACCAGAAAAAAGACAACAACTGCTGTCATTTTCTCGGAGTCAAGAGGTAAGGGCTTTCTCTATACCCCCCCCCACCCTAACCCCTTCCCCCCCAACTCCCCATTTCTGTTTTTGCCTCTTCCTTTTTTATTTTTTACTTTATTCTCCCCTCCTTCTCCTCGTCCTCTTCTTCGTCATCGTCCTCCTCTTATTCTTCCTCCGCTTCCTCCTCCTCCCCCCACTTTCTCCATCCGAACTGCGATGGAGAAATTGTATAAAAAAAATAAAAACAAAAACAAAAAAAAAGAGAGTAAAATGTCGGAGACGGAGGACTGCGAGAAAGCCCCTGCCTCTCCCCCCCCCCGCCCCCCCCTCTTTATATAAAAACACTTATAATAATAATAATAATATTTAGAATAATATAATATAATATACCCGCCCCTTGTATCTTAATGGTAGAGCACAACTTGATTGCTATTTACAGAAGATGAAAGTTTACGTAGTTTTTCATATATCTATTTTAATATATATGATTTAATAGAGGAAAAAAGTTTATCGTGTACTTTGTTTGTGTAGCCTAGATTGAGTGATCTAAGAAATTATTTTTATTACTTTATTTCTATACCGATTTCTGAGGGCATCAGAATCAAGAAATTCAGGTGTCACTGTCTCTATTGTATATGTACGTGATGTAGAGGAGAGAAAAAAAAAGCAACAAAAGGATAAAAAAGCGTTATTTTTCATTCATTTTATAAAGCGCTGGAAAAAAACAAAAAAACAAAACTCCAAAAAAAAAAAAAAAAAAAAAAAAAAAAACACATCGCCTTTGTGTTTGCTGTCGTGTGATGTGTATGTAAAGCACCAGTTTTCGGGCGACGTCGACAGGGGGCGCGTGTGTTTTTTTCTTTTTTTTTTTTTTTCCTTTTTTTTCCTAGAGCCTCGTCTCCCCTCCCCCCTCGAGCCCCCCCGCCAGCCCCCCGCTCCACTCCAGGGAAAGGGGGCAGAGAGGGAGGGAAGGGGGGGAGGGAGCCCCTCTGACGACGCCTCCGAAAAGCGTGGTTTTACCCTGCGCGGGGATCCTTGTTCAGCTCGAGGCGTTAAACGACGCTGAGCCATAAAGTACGCAAAAATCCCTCTGAGATATATACAGTATATATATATATATGATAGATGATATATATGTGTATATGTATGGATCTATATATATATCTTACGGTCGAAAATCCCTCGCTGGCAAGAGGCACCATGGACCTTCTTCATGACTTGTAAAAACCGTAGTAGAGAGAAGTGTTAACAGTAGTGACGCATTGCCTTGTGGCTTAGCACCTTTTTCGCCCCGACCTGCATGCTTGTCACCCCATCATTGTGGGAGGCAGAGTCCAGGTCCCGCATTCACAGTGTTGTAGCGGCAGCGGGCGGAGAGGACACGCCCCTACACCCACCACAGCTCGCGGCCCCGCCCGAGCCCTGTGACAGGTTCTGTTTTTTTGTACGTATTCCTCAAGTCCATCAGTCTGCGGGTTCGACCTGCCAAGTTTTTTGGGGTTCGTCTCCTGCAGCCCAGTGCGGCCGCCGCCCGCTGCCGAGGGCGCGGCGGAGGAAGGCTTCTTGCTCGCGCCGACGCCCGCCGAGCCGAGGGCGGCCTCGCGCTGGCTGCTGTAGGGGGCGTGTAACGTCGGGAGTGTGAGTGCCCTAAAATTGTTAACTGAAAGTGGAAAAAGTCACGATGGGAGAATTGACGCCCAGCTGTCCTCCCCGCCCTGCCCATAACCCCGCCCACTGGAGGCCCACCTTGAGGTCCACC